ATTGGGGCCTATTTTCTCCCTGTCCTTGCTATGAGTTTTATCCAGATCTTGCTTTCCTTGCTTTGGGCTGCTGAAAGGATCCATCCTTTGCCCCTTTCCCTTCTCCTCTTTTTCTCCTACACCATTTTGAGCACATATTTCAATATACTTGTTAATCTCGGATCTCTAGGACAACATGGAGTCAATGCCTATCTATTTGAAACCAAGGTGGAACTCTGCTAATTTCCCCTTCATTTTGGTTAACACATAAACAAATAATGAGCTATCATACACCAAAGTACTCTGGTAGTTTGGCCACCAGGACTGCCTTATTTTCCTCACATGGTGACCAGTGTTTGCAATCTTCTGAGTCTATACTTTTGGGAAGAAGCTAATCTTTTCTGCTGCTTATTTCATAATATCATCCTGTTCTCTCATTATCTCAGAACAGAGATTCCCAGAGTGTTGTACCTAGAAGTCTCATTACAAAGTAAAATGTCCTATGCTTTGGGACATTTTCTATGGCTCCACCTGTATCCCAAATTGATTCTATTAGGATCAAGGAATGAGAGAGATGATAGATGATACAAAGATACATATTCAGATAGGTAGTTGGATGGATGGATAGAGATAGATCATAGATAGATAGATAGATAGATAGATAGAAAGACAGAAAGATAGATAGATAAATGGTAGAGTATTGCGCATGTGTAAAATACAGCTATATGCATAGGTAGATAGGTAAGTATATAAGTGGATATATAGAGAGAGATTGTAGAATATATGAATGATAGAATGTGGGAACACCAGACCTTGAGCAGAGACCCACTTCCCCTTCTGCCTGGGAGTAGGCAGCTGTAAGACAATGTTTAGTAAAAACATGTTTACTAAAAACGATACAATAAGTTCCTGGCCACTTCCCCTTCTGCCTGGGAGTAGGCAGCTGTAAGACAATGTTTAGTAAAAACATGTTTACTAAAAACGATACAATAAGTTCCTGGGAAAGGCCTTCCCACGGAAACCGCCCTGACCTCGACCTTGTCCAAAGACTAACCGCACCTTCAAAAACCCACACACATCCACCTCTGGGGTCAGAGCAGAACCAGCCAGGGTAGAGGAGAGAGCAGAAGCTTCTCTGGTGGGAGCTTTTCTTAGGAAGTTTTTCGTGAACCTTTTTGGAGCCTGTTTAAAGTTTTCTTTATATCATTGAACGAGTCTCTGTGTTTTCAATACCCGACACCCTCCGCACGTTCTCGGACACAGGCCGCGCAGCAGACGTGACAACAGAAGATGATAAATAGATGATAGTAGAGTATGTGTGTGATTAAACTGATATATAGTTGGATCAACAGGTACCTAGATATAGATAGTTGATAGGAGATCTGTATAGATAGATATAAATGACTGATAGTTAGATAGACAGACAGACAGATAGATTGATAGGTAGATAGATTATAGGTTCATAGATGTCAACTCATAGATATACAGCTATCTCAGTCTGAACTTTTGGAAGCCTAGAAATTGTAGATGACACGACTTTCTTTGGTAGACTTCTAGGTAATTTGAGAAAGAAGGAAATAAAATTCAGTTCATGTTAAAACTAGTGTATTTTAAGCAGTGTTGCTGAAGCACTGTTGATCTTCAGTAACCCTGGGTATAGGTTTCCTCTGCTCTTTGACATCACCCTGGAATGACCCACTTAAGAATTGTCATGCAAGAACTGTTGACCTTCAGTCAAAATCATGATGATCGAACCATCAGCTTCTTGTAAGGAGTGTTTCTTTTTGTTCTAGTTTCTGCCATCCTCATACCTTCTCTCCTATTATTGTGTGCTTATCAGATGCTGCCTTAGACTGCATTGAATGTAGACCTGCCTGAAAATGAAAATGTAGAGCAGTACCAGTGTTCAGTAGGGTGGTGATGGTGAGTCTAGTTCTGGTTGAATGATCAGTGGAAGTTATGGATTCTCTGGGTACTCTTTGTTGACTACCCCAGTGAATACCTGCTTCATCCCTTCTTATAAAATGGGGAGAATTTACCAAGAGGTCTGGAGTAGGGAAACAGTGGAGGAAGTATTTATATTGTTCATTCAGGGAAGAAAGTATTTACTGAGCAATTTGAAGCAGGCTTTTCATTATCTTTAAAGTAGGGCAGTAGGGGAGAGGTAGATTTTGATTAGACAGAGTTGGGGAAGTTATTTTGATAAAGTACCATAATATTAATAAGAGAATTTACAACTCAGAGACAAGTGTCTGAGATTCTGTTTGTAATTCATCAGTCTACAAGTTTTAGTATGACCCAGATCCTTCTCAACTCAGTCTATAGGATGGGCACAACTCTATTGCAGAGTAGGTTGTATTAGGAAACAAACATAAGAGCACAGTTAACCTGATAAAACATGTGCAGCATTTATGAATACAGACATTTCCAAGAGTAAACCAAGACCTCAGAAATACTGTTTTTCAGTCATGTTTTTAAAAACAGAAATAATAGACCCTCATCCTTCATGTGAAGCACACAGGCTAACACCAACAAAAGAAATAAGGCCTGTGATGGCTGAGCAGCAAGCCATGGCCACAGAGGTGGGAAGCAGCTGAGCTGAGATTTAAAGCCATGGATGACTGCTTTTAGATGCTGTATTCTTTATGCTGAGCCCATTAGTGCCCCCCTCAACCTTCTTTTTTGCCAACCCATACACTTTTTCTTAGCAGCAAAAATGAAAGACATTTATGTTCGAAACTAACTCATCCTGATAATTCCCAATTAAGATGTTGTCATCTAGCATCTGGCTCCATTTCCTTTTATGAAATATTGTAAACATAATTTGAGTATAGCTTAAATGAAGTGTCCAAATGGGATAAAAACAGGTCACCTGGGAAATTAGATCTTATAGATTACAAGAATTCAATGCCTAAGTTGTACTTAATGGACATAGTTTTTTAAAGAGAATTCTTTGGAAATGATTGGTGTATTGGTTTCATCATTATTTCTACCTAAGTCTACAGTGTGGAACAATTAAAATCAAACTAACTAATATGAACTTCATGTTATACAGTAGCAAAAGCCAGCTTCAGCTAACAGACTTAACATTCACAAGAAAAACCTGGGGGTGGGTCTTTGACCCAAGTTCATATTTTTCCCTTTATCTTGTTTTAGAGAGCTTGCATACAAAAGATTTTGGGGGTAAAATATATCAGAATTTTCTGACCCTGAAACTTTTTTAGTAAATTATTTCAAAAATACTTTATATGACTATATCTGAAATACAATCTCTGGGGTGTGTATGTGTGTGTGTGGGGGGGGGGGATAAGAGGGAAGAAAAGGTGGGGGGAGGGAGTGCGGGAAGTGGGAAGCAGCCAAAAGTTGGTGTTGGTTGTCATCTTTGATTACTCTGTGCCTTAAGTTTTGAGACAGGGTCTCTCATGGAACATGGAGCTCACTGGTTCTGCTATTCTGGCTATGACAAGCAATCCTCCGGAGGATCCTCCTCTTTCAGGTTCCTCAGCACTGAGATTGCAGGCATTTGTCACCATGCCTTCTGATATAGGTATCAGAAATCCAAACTCTGGTTCTCCTGCTTGCATGACAAGCACTTGACCAAACCTTCTCCCTGGCCTCTTAAGGAGTCTCTTAAGTAAATAGTAAATAGCCCTTACTATTCCTTGATTATTGCCCAATTAGATAAAAGAAATTATTAATTTTTAGTTGAATGCTCTGAAAATGAGGGTGGAGGCAGGGTGGGATTAAGGATAAAGCACATGATGACGGTGTGTGTTGGCACTGCTTTAGATACAGTGGACAAACATTCTTTAGGGAGCACATTCCATGCTTATAGGTGACTACACCATCTTTTCCCCTTAGCCTGGTGAGGTGATGGTTAAATCCATGTACTGTCAAGTTCTATAACCTGGGATCCTGTCCCAGCTCTCACACATCCTGATGTTGCAAGTTTAGGCAAGTTCCTTAGACTCTTTAGGGCTCAGTTTTCTCATTGGTGAGTTATTGACAATCACTGCTTCATAGGGTGGTCAGGATGATTCAGCATCAACACCAATAAATGCCAATAAACACATCAGTGTGGTTAATGCCATCAATATTGTCTTGGGATTGTATCATCTTCTCAACTTAGTCCTTAGACTCTTCTGTGACCTTATAAAGCAAAATCTGTTCCTTAGTAACAGAACAGCTCAATGGCATTATGAGAAAGACGCATATTCTTATTTAGATAAAATATCAAATTGGGTTCTTATAAGAGGCCTGAAGATGTCCATAAAAAAAAAAGCTGTAAAGAGATTCCTTCTAGTAACTAATCACGAGCTTGGACGTATTTTCAGAAACAGCGCTAATTTGTACTCATCAAAGGAGAACATATTGATTTGTGTGTGTATTTCAAGCAGTGCTCTTACGCATGTTGGTCCTGTGGTCGCAGCACCCTCCTCTGGGGACAGTGGCTTCTTTAAACTGCAGTGAATGGTGATTCTATTTGTAGGCATTCTTGCCGACAGCACACCTTCCTTTCTGTGGTGATTATTGCATCCTCATATTACACTGTCTTTTTGGAACTAAGATACATCTCCAGCCCAGCCAGCCCCTCCAGCCCCTCACAAACAGTGGTTCTCAATGTTCCTAATGCTATGACCCTTTAATATAGCCCCTCATGATTGGTGAACCTCCCACCCCCCATAAAATTATTTCACCACTACTTCATAACTGTAATTTTGTTACTGTTATGTGAACCCAAGGGGTTGCGACCCTCAGATTGAGAACCACTGCACCACAGACTATGGTAAGTCTTTTGAACCATGAAATCTGTTTGCTGCAACCCAAAGACTATAGAACAATTTCAGTACTGAAGAGGCTCAGACTGCAGCTCCGGTCACATATGTATAATGACAGAAAGGCAGAATGCTGGTCTCATTTGAACTCCGGGGACATGCTTGCCCCTCTCGACCCATCTTCTCTTTGTAAGCGAATAGCATTTTTACAGCAGTAGAAGCAAATTCCAGAAGATGGTGACTTACCTTCCTTTAACCAAGGAATGTCATTTTTGTCATTTTCAAAATGTTCAGCTGTTCTTCCTTTTATCTTTTCCAACTCAGTTTCTGACATCTGAAGGGGGAAACAGAATGTGTAATGTCAGAAATGCATAGAGACCACAAATGGTGAGCACAGTTTTATGTTTGGAGATGCTTGACATATTACGGAAAATTTCCTGTCTGCTGTGTTGGGAGCATCATCTCAGGGCCTTCCTTCCCTTTGGTCCGCTTGGGTTATTTAAAACCCTGACATGGAGAACTGAACTCTATTGTACAGTACTTCAGAGCTCTGCAGCAAAGCCTGCTATAAGATGCTAGAGCTCTTGGATATAAGTGAATAGCAGATTCCTAACCAGACTCAGATTTGTCACAGATAAATAAGCATTTGGTTACTGTTTAATTCCTTTCCATGTCACATAGAAAGGTGGGCAAAAATGTAAAACACAAAGATACAGAGAACAATCAAATACAATAGGTACTTTTCAGGAATATGTTGGCTGGAGGAAGAGTCTTCCTACATAAGCTAGCCTGAGTCCGGAAAGTATCCAGGAAGCCTTTTGCTCCTCACCTTCAAAGCAGAGCCCTGGACTTTCAGTGCTTGCTGGCTATCCAGGCTCTTCCCAGTTCAGCACTCCCAAGTGCTTACCTGTGTGTTGCAGAAGGAGGAGGCCAGAGGTGTGGGACTAGGGTGCGGTGTGCTGCAGCCTCCCTTGTCTCTGGGTGTCCAGCATTCCTCTATCCTGGCAGCACTGAGCACACAGGCAAACACACTCCCTCCCTGGGTGGTGCTAGATTTGTATGGTTGCCAGAAGCATCCAACTTGCGGCTGAGAGTTGTTTTTTGGTTTTTTTTTAAAGGTAATATAAAGCTTGTGGTTTAAAACAATAAAACCTCCTCCAAGCTAACACTTATTTAAAATGACACTCTACCAAGCAGGCTAAGAACAAAGAATTCTTTTCAAATGCATCGAGTGGCTCCCAACCCCTTCCTTCCTGCCCACCATTCATTACTTAGTATTAATATTAAAAGGTGCCGAAAGAACATACTGAAAACATATACACAAACTATTTAGTTTGAAAGAGAGACATCCAAAGCTGAATTCCCTAGATGTTCATTCTCTGGCTGATGTTTTGAAAATCATTTTTATCCCTAACATTTTATAGGCAGTAAGAAAACACTGAAGTTTTGATTTTATCATTTACAGATATTTTAAAAAGGATTTGGAATGACATCCCAAAGAGCATTAGTCATTACATTCTTAGGTAAGGACAACACCGTTTTAAATGAAAGATAAAAACCTAAATGTGTAGCCCTTGAGTATACATGATAAATAATTCACCTTCCTGAAAGATGACTTTTTTGTGGCAGTATTTGGTTTGTATCTCAAAGCAGTTGGCCCTCTCTGATGTATTTGTCTGACACAGATGTTATCTGATTGTGTAGTAGTCATTTCTCCCACCACCCAAAATTTACTTCTTCATTCCCTCTGCTCTTTGTCTTACCATATTTAAAACTACCTTGCCCAGCCAATTTTCACACAAATGCCTCCTTTGGTTCCCTCCTTTATGAGTAAGATAGATTTCAGACCACTTAGACAACTAGAGAAAGCCTTAAACCGTAGGATTTCTCTATGTGGTTTTTCCACCCAAGATCCATATTCTTTAGAAAGGTCAAAATCTACACCAACTCAATGGTGTGGTTGCTGTTTTGTCATTTACACTCCTAAATACATTTCTTCACAGCGTTCTCTCACCCCCCCGTTAGTTACCAGGGAGAAAAAAACCACACTGAGTTGGGTGTCTGTCGAAGCAGGATATCGATTTATTCCAACACACAGGAACTTATATAGGACTGAGGTAGGGGATGGGAATCTTGGGATAGGGTAAGGTGACTTGAGGAGTTAAGGGCCAATAGTATTCCACCAAGCAGGCAGGTAGCTAGGCAGGGAGCAATCTTGCATCAGATCTAGCTGAGTCACCCCCACATGGAGGTTACAGGTTAGAGACAGGTTGCTAAACTCTAGCCAGGCTCAGGAGGTTACACTGGGCCTCACATCCAAGCCTTTCTTAGGCCCAACACTCTACCTGGGTAATGAAGTCTGATTTGGACTAGGATTTTAGTATTTTGAGCTGGGCTTGACCTTGGAATAAATGAGCTGAGCCAATGATAGCTCCATGCCTGAGAATAAAAGTAAACAAGTTGTTTGAAGCAATCAGGGCAGACTTGGAAACATAATCAAATCTGAAGCCTCAAAGTGACAGGCCAACCTCAGATGTCACAGGGACCTAAGATCTCATCAGAATCCAATGCAAACAAACTCATTTGTTTGTTTGTTTGTTTGCTGATTTACCAGTATGGAGATAACACGAGCATTCTCTTGCAATAGTTCCTTTGTTTAGACTCAATAGTTCCTTTTGTTTCGCTTCAAAAATGTGATCCAGAAATAGAATCTTTGAGGACAAGTTGTCTGTCCATCAGAAGGCAGATTTTGCCAAGAACAAAGTATTTAAGATGATCACATTTCAAGCTCTGGTTCCAGTTAGAATAGGATTGGATGTAAACCCCTAGCCTGAGGACCTCCAACTGTCAGGTTCCACCCACAGAACATTCTAACTGCCCTAACAGCTGGACCCTGGCCCCAACATACAGAGTAAGAAGCCCAAGCTCTGGAACTTAAAAATCCCACCTGACTCCCCAAGAAAAGTTATATAAACCCTGTCTTCTGCTCAGTTCTCTGCTGCTTCTCACCCAAGTGGAGGCAGCCACTCTCCTGTTTTTCCCCCCTCCCAATAAATCTTGTGTGAGGTTTGTTGTGTAGAATGACTTTGCCAGAGCATTCTCTGGCTCCTGACTGCCAGGATACTTTTCCATCTGAGCTATAACACATTGAGTGCATGTAAAAAGTGGCATTTTAACCAGCAAAACAACAAAATCACCTGTGACTTTTTTATTGCCTAAGAACATGCTGCATTATCATTTAGTATTGCTAGTAAAGCAATGAAACTGCCTATGTAACTCAAGAATATCAGTCACTGTGTCACCAACTTACATTATTGAATTTGAGGACTATAATTTGCAGAGTAGAGTCTGTGATGGCTAATCTTGGTTGTCAATTTTACTACATCTGAAGTCAACTAAGCCCTAAGACGTTGGGCATGCCCATGATGAGTTTTCTTGATTGGACTATTTAAGGTGGGAAGATATGTCCTAAATTCAGGTCTTTAAGGTCAGAAGACCCACTGTGAATCTGGACCAAACCTTTTGATGGCAGCCCTCACAGAAGGACGTGGAAGAAGAAATACTTTTGTTTTCTCTCATTACAAAGTTCATTTATTTCACTGTTGAGGCATTCCCTCTCAGGTATGAGAAATTACCTCTTCAAGATTCCAACATAGACTGAAGACTAGATGAGACACCCATTCTCATAGGTGAAAAAAAATGCCTAATTCTTTTTTTTTTCTTTTCCTTGGAGAGATAGCCATTGTTGGACTATTCAGATCACAGCCTATAAGCCACTCTAATAAATCATATACATATAAATATATATGCATGTATATTCATTCTATCATTTCTGTTCCTCCAAAGTACCTGGATTTATCATAAAAAGCTCTTTGAAAGTTTTGAGGGTTGAATCCATACAAACACAAACATAATATTATAGAATGGTGTTCTTTGAAGGTGTACTTTCTACTACAGATTATAATTGCTAGTATTTAGTATAATTTAAAAATAGTCAATAGCCACTAAAATACCTAAGACATCTCACTAAACAATGATGTTTAATAATTCTCTCTGGTCTTTCATGTCCTTGGTACAAGAATCTACATGGAGTGGCAAAATAGTCATCCAAAATGTCAAGGAGAAAAGGAAATGACCCATGACTGAATAGAACTCCCTATTTGCTACATAGACTCTTAAGGGACAGAGAAATTTAATACCACAAAGCAAAGCAGAGCAAGGGTTTGGAGCAAGGGTTTAGAACACACTTAGCTTATTAGAAGTGAAACAATAACACTCAGGATATAAATTGCCATGTTTTGCCTGGCATTGGTGGCACACGCCTTTAATCCCAGCACTCGGGAGGCAGAGGCAGGCGGATCTCTGTGAGTTCGAGACCAGCCTGGACTACCAAGTGAGTTCCAGGACAGCCTCCAAAGCCACAGAGAAACCCTGTCTCGAAAAACCAAAAAAAAAAAATTGCCATGTTTTATCTTTCTTCCATTATAGACCATTAAACAAAAACACTTACTTTGGCCAAATTATTTTTTAAAATTTTTTATTTAAGTTATTCACATGTCAATTCCAGGTCCCTCTCCCTCCCCTCTCCCACCCTCCCAGCCTACCCAACTTCCCACCCAATTCCCACTCCGTTCCCCAGAGAGGGTAGGACCCTCCATGGGGGATCTCCAGAGTCTGTCATTTCATTCAGGGCAGGGCCTAGGCCCTCCCCTAAGAGTCCAGGCTGAGAAAGCATCCCTCATTGTAGGATGGGCACCCAAAGTCCATTTGTATGCCAGGGATAAATACTGATACTACCCAAGGCCCCATAGATTGCCTAGAATTCCTCACTGACACCCACATTCAGGAGGTCTGGATCAGTCCCATGCTGGCCTCCCAGCCATCAGTCTGTGGTTCAAGAGCTCCTCCTTGTTCAAGTCAGCAAATTATTATTATTATTATTATTATTATTATTATTATTATTATTATTTGGTTTTATGAGACAGGGTTTCTCTGTTTTGGAGGCTGTCAGTCCAGCCTGGCCTCGAACTCACAGAGATCCGCCTGCCTCTGCCTCCCGAGTGCTGGGATTAAAGGCGTGCGCCACCAACGCTCGGCAATTATTTTTATATAGTTATTTTCTTTAACTTAAATCCTTGATGAGAAATATTATAATGTTATAAATTATGTTATAAGTCTTATAAAAGTAACTGCATTTGACACTTGCCTCAAGATGCATGGTTTCCCTGGGGCTTATACCATACGTTCTTTCCTTCTCATGATCCCTTAGGGAAAGCGTTGTTACTCTTCAAGTTATGTATAAGCATATGGAGTCAATCCATACCTGCCTTCTTTCTTAGTGCCTTCTCTGTAATGTATACCATTGTGATATGTTTCAGACTTGTAAATGTCATAACCCCATAAGAGATGTGTGTATATAGTTGATTTTCTCATAGAGAAACGCAAAGAAAAAGTTTTAAAAATGTTTATATTGTCATAATTTCTGGTTGTCATCCTTCCTTCCCTAGGTGGGAATTTTCATCTGATGCCATTTTTCTCCATCCCAAAGACGTTTCTTCAATAATTTCTTGAGAAATTCCCTTAGATCTCATTAATCTAAAGATGTCTTTAGGTTGCTTTCCTTCATAAAGGATATTTATTCCTTATATTGATTGTTTTTGCTTTCTTTTTTTTTTTTTTTTTTGGTCCTTGGAACTGAATTTAGGACCCCATGAATACTAGCAAGTGCTAAGTCTTCAAGCTCTCTCCCCGGCCTTCTTTTACTTTCTGAGACAGTCTCATTAAATTGCCCAAGCTGGTGTGGTATTCTCTCTTATTCCAGAGTGATCTCCAGCTTCAGCCTCTTGGGGAGGTGGGGTTATAGGCCTGTGGCATCAGGCCTTGTTTAGATATTTAATTCTTGATTGTCAGGTATGTTTCCTTTCTTGTTTTACAGTCTTTCTTTTGCATTTTTTTGTTCTCTTCATCACTCTCTTATACTTTTCCCTTCTTAGATCTACCTCCCGTTTTCTT